CCTCAGGGAAATAAGACCATGTCAAAACTCGTATTCGTGATACGATGGAATGATTAAATGGTGGTATTGAATGTAACTGTAGACTAAACCTTAAAGTGATACTACGTCTTAGAATGAACATAGAATTGAAGAATTTTAAACTTGGCCAATAAGAGCCAGTAGATATACCTGGTGTCATAAATAACATAACAGGATCCTAATATAATCCGATAAATCCAAAAAACTTAGTAATTATCCATAAATATGCAATTTACTATTGAAAAACGTTAAATATCAAGATTAAGCGTTTTTCAATAATTACTTAGTTTTATGAATTTTCCAATTTTCTAGATTTTACAGGGATTCTGTTGTAACTTTATGACACCAGGTAAGTTTACTGATGAATATATACTCATATTGACCATTTCGAGAACTTAAATTTTATGTTCATTCTAAGACGTAGTATCACTTTAATGTAATAGCCTATTGTTTACAAAGCTATAGCAAACATGAAGCCAAGATAGCTGACAGTTGGTAACCAAGATAAACAATAATTATACAATATACTATAGGCCTACCTTGACCAAAAACACTCATATCAGAAACACTAAAGACTGAATGACAACAAGGTTGTCAACCCAAAACACTAATTAAATGAAATGAATGGAGTTTTACGTCCTACTTTTCTGCACCAGGTGGGCTAATGAAGACGGGCAACGTCATGCAGGGTGCCATGAGGGAAATTTTGCCAGGACAGCGGGATTAGCCTGCTCTTTTTCGATTTCCAACTGTCGATGGATCTTTAACGTGCACGCAGCCTGCAGCACACGGGGCCTCGATTTATTGTCCCCATCCAAACGACTAGACTCATTTTCCATGCCAGCCCCTCTTACCAGTGAAGTGTAACTTTAACTGGCTGTAAGTTTAATACTGTGAGTGAAAACTAACCAAACACATTTAATATTACATTTCAACAATTATTAACTCACTTTCCCTTGAGTTCGTGGCTGCATGGGAGATTTACTTTCTCAAAGATTTTACCTTTAAGATGGGTTCCCTTATTTTCATTAATGAAAATGGAAATGCTAATACTTATATGAATAGAAAGTAGAGATGTTCTAATGACTGGAAAAATA